TGCACTAATCTGGAAACCCTCCTTGGCGCCCTCGTGTTCACGGTTCCTTCGGCTTACACTTCATTACCCGGCGCCGCTCCTCCCCGCCCCCCCCCTCCTCTTCTTGGCCTTTAGAATCCTCCTTTTATCCATACATCCCTCTTTCTCTCCCGTCATCCTTCTCGTATCCTCATCCGACGGAGTGCCCGACGGAAATCACAGGGCGTCCATCTTTTTGGAACAGGGAAGGTCCCCCGCGAGAGAAATTAACAAAAACATATCGAAAACATAGCAAAGAAAGATACCAAAGAAATTATTTAGAAAAAGGTAATGGTAACGACACCCAAGAGATACCTTAAAAAAAAGAAAGGACAAAAAATGAAAAACAAAACAATGCCAACGAAAGATCCCAGAGACGCGTCGGAGGGGGAGAAAACCAGCCTCCCGAAGAAAGAAAAAAAACACGACTGCCGCATCCCTCGACAACGCTCCCACCAACGAGCTCCTTCGTCCTTAATTAACCACGCTTAGTCCTCATTTACCGGCGATGGTGAAATCCCCTCTCCCTCCCTCCTATCCTCCTATCCCCGCGCCCGCGCCGCGCCGCGCCGCCCGTCGACCGCACCTTGTTATCGCGAGGAAGAGGCAGCTGCGTGTGTTCCCGCGGTCCTCGTCGCGTCCCCCTCGAAAGAGCTTATCATCAGGGCTCAAATCACAGGCGGCGTCGACGAGGCTGGGAAGACTTGCGAGAGCTCGAATCACACTACGAACCTTCGACCGCGTCAACGAGGTTCGTCCCCGACTTTGAACATTATTCCCGTAGCCCAAGAAGGTTCGAAATTCCGTGTGCCAAAAGCCATTAAGGAATTATAAGGGAGGAAATCACATCAAGCAAAGAGAGCTCAAGAGAGTTTAAAGAATTTCACGTGATTCGAGAGACCGTGTATATGAGTTTCTCAAAAAAGCTCACGTTATTCACATAAGCCAGGCAAGGTCCCTCCAAACCCAAAAAATCACCAAGGTATAAGCTGTACTATCAATAAACCCACGCAGACTAAGAAATAAAAAATCGTAAAGCGTAAGACAAAACGAGCGAGAGAGCAAGCGAGCATGCGAGTAAGAGTGAGAGAGAGGAGAGAGGAGAGAGAGAGAGAAGAGAGGAGAGAGAGAGAGAGAGAGAGAGAGGAGAGAGAGAGAGAGAGAGGAGAGAGAGAGGAGAGAGGAGAGAGGAGAGAGAGAGAGAGAGAAGAGAGAGAGAGAGAGAGAGAGAGAGAGAGAGAGAGAGAGAGAGAAGAGAGAGAGAGAGAGAGAGAGAGAGAGAGAGAGAGAGAGAGAGAGAGAGAGAGAGAGAGAGAGAGAGAGAGAGAGAGAGAGAGAGAAGAGAGAGACGAGAGAGAGAGAGAGAGAGAGAGAGAGAGAGAGAGACGAGAGAGACAGACGAGAAAATGAAAGGAAGGAGAGACAAAGGGACATAGGAAGGGAGGAGACAGAGGCCGACAGCCAAAGAGGTAAAGAGGGTAAGGTCGTAGCTTAGAGGAGTGGCCCTGAATATGCTAAAAGAGGGGAAGGAAGGCTGAGGGGAAGGACAGGGGAGGAAGGGGAGGGTAGGAAAAAGGGGAAAGAGAAGAGAAGGGGGGAGGAGGAGGGGGGAAGGGAAGAGAAGAAGGGGAGGAGAGGGGGAGGGAAAGAGAAAGAAGGGGAAGGAGAGGGAAGGGGAGGGGGGCATGGCCTGGATGCTGGCCAACAGAGATTAAGGCCGATGTTTGGTGGGGAGGAAGGGGGGGGGGGGAGATGAGATGAGATGAGGGGGGCACAGAAAGGAAAAGGGAAAGAAGGAAATGGGAGACGCGGGAGAGTGAATTTGTTTGTTTGCTTGTTTAATACGTTGTGTGCGCGCGCACGCAAGCGTGTGAGTGTGAGTGTGAGTGTGTGTTGTGAGTGTGTGTTGTGAGTGTGTGTTGTGAGTGTGTGTGTGTGATGTGTGTGTGTGTGTGTGTGTGTGTGTGTGTGTGTGTGTGTGTGTGTGTGTGTGTGTGTGTGTGTGTGTGTGTGTGTGTGTGTGTGTGTGTGTGTGTGTGTGTGTGGTGTGTGTGTGTGTGTGTGCGTGTGTGCGTGTGTGCGTGTGCGTGTGCGTGTGTGCATGTATGTGTGTGCATGTATGTGTGTGCATGTATGTGTGTGTGCATGTATGTGTGTGTGCATGTATGTGTGCATGCATGTGCATGTATGTATGTATGTATGTATGTATCCATGTACGTGTGCATGTGTGTATGTATGTATGCGTGTGTATTTATGAGTATGCATGTGTGTATGTGTATTTGCATGTGTGTGTCTGCATATCTGTATATGTATATTTGTCTGTGAATGTGTATGAATGTGTATGGTACTGTGTCTAGATGTGTGAATGTGTATATGTGTGAATGTGTGTAAGTGCCAATGTGTGTGTATGTGTGAATTGTACATGCCTATGTGTATGTGTGTGTATGTGTGTGTATGTGTGAATTTGTACATGCATATGTGTATGTATGTGTGTACATGTGTGCATATGCATGTGTGTCTGCACATGTGTGTATGTATGTGCATGTTTGAGTGTGATTGTTTATGTGTATGTGTATGTGCATGTGTGCATGACTATGTGAATGTATGTGTGTATGTGAAAGTATGTATGTATGTATATGTATGTGTGTATCCATATGTATATGTATGCATATGTATGTGTGTGCATGTTTGTGTATGTGCACAGGTATATGAGTGATGGTGTGTCTGTGTGAGTGTGTGTTTGCATGTATGTAGCTGTGTATAAATAGATGGATAGATAGAGATAGACAGATATATATATAAATACAGATACCTAAGATCTATACAAAGATTTCAAAAATATTATGCATAGATTATTGTAAAAAATATTCTGTGTACGGCCTGTATACAAAGAAATCAAAAACAAACTTTTCTAATTTGAATCCATACAAAAATAATACTAACTAGCAGATGTCAGATAAGATAAACAAGTTCATTATAGAATCCAAATATCATTTCACATAAACAATCCTAGAGATACAGAAGTTTTCATCTCCATATATATATATATATATATATATATATATATATATATATATATATATATATATATATATATATCATTTAATGAAGTAATTATGAGCCACAGAAAATTAACTGTAGTATCAATGTTCACTAATTCATTCAAAATTCGTCAACTTCACTCCTACAACCCATTTCTCCCCATTAAGACTAATGGTGTTCAAGCTTATAGCTTCACTGCTGCTTCTAACATTTCAGCAATTAAAGCCTACATTGCCTCCCTAGATTTAGGCTATTCTGTTGACATTCTGGCTAACTTCACGTTATGAGTCGAGTATTTCTGCAGTGTAATATGTCAACTATAGGGTACAAGTATTTAACTGAAACTGTGACATCCTTTGCAACTTGACATATCAATAGACTATCAATCATTTCATAAACATGTTTTAATTGACCCTAACACTCAGTAACTTCAATACTAATCTACTGCCTAGGAACAAAAAATTTTTAATGTAAATAACAAAATATAATCTGTGAAAAAGAAGAAAAGAAATCTTTATCTTAAACACAGCATTAAACAAAATAAACTCCAAATAGAACAGGTTAACGGTTTCCTAGAGTTGTATTGGGATTAGGCAACTGATAAGGAGAACTGATTCCTTATCAGTGTGTGAAATTAACACAGTACAGAATAGATACCAATGTTGTTTGGATATTCAACAACACAGAACACTAAGTACAGGTCTATTGATAAAAAAAGCAGACCTAAGGCAGCTTTTAGCAAAACACATATTTTTTTGTTTCTTCCTATCTTTAATAATGATTTTGAAAACACCTTGACAGATAAAAAATATCTCCCATTTTTATTAAGTTTTCTGAACATGACAATTCTACCAAACTTTCACAACTGTTTTAAAAGAAATATATAAATATTTTCTAATGCTTAAAAGATTATCAAAATGTACTCTCATGATGACCTGAAACATTTTGGAAATCTTTCCTTTAAAACATTTTAAACGCATCACATTTCTGCAAGTCACAATTTTGCAAGAAGCACCAAATAATTTTTTCTATACATAATCGTTATCTTTTTTCACTCAGAATTACCTTCAGTATTTGTAATTCAAGAGAATCACCTTTTCAGGTATGGAAACTGCAGCGAAAATATCATCCACAAACCCATTAAAATTAATCTAAAAAGCAGATGAGACATTAACATGAATGAAATATTCCTGCATACCACCATCTGAATATACTGCAGCGAAAATATCATCCACAAACCCATTAAAATTAATCTAAAAAGCAGATGAGACATTAACTAATTCAAATCTATTGACATGAAAGTTAATGAAAGAGATATGCAACTTTTATCCGGAACTAAGTATTCAAAAACATATAAAAGAAATAAAGACAAATCAAATTTAAAATATAAAGAACTTACAAGTCTCCTCATTTTAATATTTCATTAAGAAGAGAAATGGAAAGTCATAATCATTGTCTCTGACTGTGGAGAAAGTACTTCAGTCATGATTTTTTTTTGTAAATGATGTTTGTTAAGAAATAATCATTAATGTAATAGTAAACTAATAGAGTTATTATCCTCATGAATATTTTTAAAAATTAATACAATTATCTTTATTGGATGCAGGAAAACAACTATACCTTTTATATCTCTTATGTCATATAAATAGCCGACATTTTAGCACTCTGACTGACATGACTCTATGCAAAAGAACATGTCCCATAGAAGAGAAATTACATAGATACACTTTAATACAATTACAATCATAGGCATTTCCTCCTATGGCAGTAAAAATAATGACCACAACAGGTTACACTACACGCATGGTTCTGTCTCTATAAAGAACGACAAAAATAACAAGTCCAGTAAAATAACCGCTTGTTCCCTCTCGACATTCATGTTCATGTGCATTTGCTCGTAGTAGTACAAACAACAAACACAACAGTCAACTACAACTCACCTCCATGGCTTGCCCGAGCTCTAAATCGAACGTGACGACACATATCGCGTGCACCCAGTTACTGAAATTATCCCAAGGGAGCAAAGGAGCGTCTTTCTCTTCGTTTGGGGACATTTTTGGGTCTTTGTTTCCCTTAATTTTCCGTATTTTCCCTCGCGAGCTGAGACGACACGCCTTCCTCCTCCACCTGTAAACAAAACACTGAAGCTCACGCGCGAAGTTGATGCTTTTACTCAGAGATGGCGCGCAGGTATTGTGACGTCACGCCGATCCTCGTTTTCTGTTTTAGAGCAGGGACTATTGTATGTACAGTGATTTCCGCATTTCCACATACCAGTTGTCATTCAGGGCAGTGGTACCAGCAGAATAGCATAAGTATTAACGATTTACAGGCGCAGTTCAGTTGTTTTTATTTTCTTGTTATCTGTTTAATAACAAGAATATAATTATAAGAAGGTGGTTTCTGCTGGACAATTCTATTACTTCCTTCAAGATTTTTTTCCTTTACAGGACAAAGTAATCTCTGAACTTCTGTCTTTATCCATTTGAATTTATGCTTTCACTACCTTCTCCATTTTATTTGCATTTATCTAGAAGAAAGCCGAATGTAAAATTAATAAGTGGCATTATTCAAAATCTACAGACATCAGTATATGATTTTCAAATATCTGAAAACGTTGAAATCATATTTTAGAATTAAAATCGTCAGTTTCCATTTGCTGCTATCTCCGTGTTTTTTGTTTTGTTTAAGATAAGACCGTTATTTCTTGTAATCTCTCCGCTTCTCTCCCACTTTCGTCACATTACATTTCCTGTGATAATATTCAAACCGTAACTTCATGAATCGAGTTAACAAAAAAAGACACCAGTTTTACACATCATTTCTTATCTTGCTAATCTTATCCTGGTGATTCGAGAGTAAAAAAGGTTTGTTTATTTTTCTATTCATTCAAGTTTATCTAATCTTTATATAAAAAGTAATCCATTTGTATGCCTTCTTATACCATTAGCCTTGACCGTAGAGTTTAAAAAATAATAATGAGGATAACTTCTTTGGAGATAATGGTGATGGTGAAAGTGATGGTGGTAATAATAGAAGTAACAATTATTTATATGATCATATGAACAACGAGGATGATGATAATAATTATTATTATTGTTAATGTTAGTATTATCATTATCATTAATATTATTATTGTTGTTTTTATTATTAGTGTTGTTGTTATTGTTGTTATTATTATTATTACTATTATTATTATTATCATTATTATTATCATTATTATTATTATTATCATTATTATCATCATCATTATCATAATGATGATAAAACTAATTATAATAATGATAACAAAACAACTTCTACTACTATCACTACTACTACTACTAATAATAATAATAACAATGATATAAACAACATTACCAACAGCAGTTATCATTATCATTAGAATTGAAATAATTATCATTGATATTATCATTAGAATAATAATAATAATTGTTATTATTATTATCATTATTATCTGGACAGTAATAATTATGATGATAATAATTACAGTTATAATTATTACAATTATCATTATTAGAATAATCATAATAATGATGATAACAACCACAATAACAACAATAATAATGACGATGATCATGATAACAATAATAACAATAGAATAACAACAAGAATATCAAACAACAACAAGAATTACGTTGGTAATCATTACCATCATGATGATAATCGTACATATCCATGTAGTTATCATTAGTATTGATGATGCTATTACCAGCAACGTTATACTTACTGGTATTGCTACCATTAGTATTGATAATTTCCATACCATTACCATTATGATCAATAGAATTATCATAATCATCAATGCCATTGTGATGATGATTATAACTGTTACCACTGTTTATTTCGCTGTTGTGACATGCTGTTATATAATGTGACACAATACAGTACAATCTAATATAATATAGTATAAAGTAATACAATGCAATATTTTATAACATAATGTAATATGATGTAATTTAGTATAAGATATTATATTATAGTCTATAATATGATACGATATAGCATATTGCAATATAATATATGGTAATGCAATGCATTATAACATGATAAAATCTGTCATAATGTGAAATGTTATAACATTAGAAATAATATTCGCCGATGGCAATGTTAATCGGTTTCACATCAGCAGTTTCGCAAAATCTGAGTTAAAATAAATCTGAACATTGATAATTGATGCTCCTGAAGGCAATGGGTTAAACGGTGCACTTTGAGCAATTCGAGCATTTCTTCAAAGTGCCTTCTGTGGTATTCTAAGAAAAAATGGAAGGTCTTGACCCCCATTTCGACTAGTCTGTATCACTGACATAAAAAGATATGATAGAAAGATAGATTATCATGATCTGACGAAGAGAAGTATTTAGTTGTATTTCAGCTACATAACCCACATGGTTGGCTATGCAAAGGCGATAATAACATTGTAACGACACGACCCTCCTCTCTCTAACATCTGCACCCAAACCGTTTTCGAGTGTCATGAAAGGAATACACTTTCTTCTCCGAGTTACCTGACACCTGACAGTCTTAACTCGATGCCTTGTCCCTCCCATGGTAGAACAATGCATGGATTTCCAAAGGTCTAGTCTACGTATATTTCTATTTGTTTGGCTTGCGAAGGGGTCCATGGAGGGCGTCTTCTGAAGGAATATATGTAGATATCATCTGCTGAATATTCTATTTTGGGTCAGTCTCCAGCTCTAACTCATGAGACTTTATACAAGAATCGACGTGCAGTTTAAAGTGACACATCTTAGCTTTTTTTTGCCTGCGTGCGTGTCTAGAATGCTCAGTAATACTCTAACAATGTACTCCAAGTACATGGGCCTCGATATTGTCCCTTACATGGATAGTGCTACGTTTGATGGCTAGATACTCGCCGAAGAGTATTTGCATATATCCCCCCCCCTCCCACCCCACCATCACATGATACTAACATGAATAAAACGCGTATCATGCTGTCTCTGATTCACACAATAGCGAGTGTGTACAAAGCTGAAAGGCAGGATGTGTCGGCAGGGGAAATAAGTCGCACACTCAACTTCCTGTCGTTCGTCTCCAGAGGGTTGTCCGGGAAGGTCCTCGAGTCAAGGAGTGTGTAGGGGACCGCCGTAGAAATCTTATCAGTCTCTTACGTCGCTGTGTGATAGTTTGAGATTGTTTTATTATTATTGCTTGTTAGCGAAAGGTTTTTGTTTGGCGTGCTAGCATGTACCGTTTGAAACTAAAATTCTGTTTGCATGAGACGAAAAAATGTATGGATTATACATACCGAGATTGATGAGGCTGTGAGTTCTGTGGCAAGTGACGAAAGCAACGAGAAGAGCTACAAACAATTCTATACAAGGAAGCAAGATGAAGAAGAGGAAAGCGAGGTACGTTTTATAAATAGACACGAAGAACGGAGACAAGGAGCCAGTCGTGTATATTTGAGAACAAAAGTAATTACCATTACAAGTTCTCACAATGTCAGGATCCAGTATTTAATCGTCATTCATTATTACTATTATCATTATCACCATTGCCTTAAACAAGGGCACGATTTGACTTGCCCCAGGTAGAAAAAGGTAGAAGAATGCCCCATTTTCTAATAAGCATATCAAACGTGCCGGTAGAGACTTGTACGTGATTTTCTACTCTCAGAGGGTGACAAATGGTATTGTAGCTGAAAAGGTAAGGTTTATTGAATATTTCTGTACGTCAGAGGAAAGTCGGTAAAGTATGAAATCATGTGATGAACTGTACACTACTGTCAGGGCTCGCACAAGGGTTCTGTCCTTTATACCCTGCTGGGTGTCGGCCTCTTGCGGTATATATTCTGATGGCGATTTTGAAGAATTTTGCTTACAGATTAATGCCTCAGATTCATGCTAGATGCTAGAAAAAGTAAAGTCAAAGTGGTAGTATTTGTTCTACTGAACTATGTGAAATTTTATTGCCAGCAAGGTAAGTTGCGTGTGGATTTAATAGCTCAATTATTTATCTGTGTTAGTGTAAGTGATTTAGATTAATGTCTGACAGTGACTACAGTAAGTGCTATAACAACATTTTGAAGTTAAAGAATAATTCTATAAGTAGTTAGTAATTCCCAACAGTAAACAAATAATGCATTTAAATAAAACCTGAAAGACTGAAACTTCGTCGTGGCATTCTGGTAAAATACTTTACACCGGCATTTTCTCTTTCAGTTATCCTTGAAAGTAATCAATATCATTTCGTTATTTGAAAAAATACAATATTACCTTGTATTTTCATGTCAAAATATTGTATATACAAATAAAAATAGTTACACCAATGATCTCTATACTGACGTCACAGACAGCTGATGATGCAGGTGTAAACATTGGAATATGAGGGCGTCAAGCAAAGGAACATCGCAAATATAGTTATTTCAGGTATTTGAACCAACTAGAGACATTGTAAGATACACAGTTCACAACTAAGTAGTAGTGTGTCATAGTTATGTTTAGTATAATGAAGAGATAATAATGAAAATGAAACGCAAAACTTGGAAGTTGGATTCCGCAGATAATCGTCGGCGTCATAGTCAGGTGGTTTACAAATTATCTGCTAGTGCTTTTATAGGAAAATATGTTTCGTGGATTGGCTGGAATTTGCACACTGCTTGACTGTTATAGTGTAGTTGAGTAGAGAAAAGCGCCAAATATGCTTAGTTGTGATGAGAGAAGCAAGCGTGAGACGAACAAAATTCAGTTTCAAACAAAAGAAGTAAATCGTCATTAAATGCTGTATGTTTTTCCGTATATGTAAAGGTTTGCAAGGAAAATGTTACATTGATTTTCAGAACATATTTTAACATGATTATACATAATAAATGCCAAACATATTACTGTACGTTAGGTTAATGATTCTACTTAGTCCATGGAAATATTAAAGTTTCCCCATACTTGTTATTTTTGCTTTACTTATTTCACAAATAAGATTGTTGAAGCTATTGAATATTGTTAAGATTTTATGTAGTATTAATGCTAATTTCTCTGTTTTACTTTTATGTAATTATAGAGGCATAATTACTTTTTTAAAGATATCCGTGATTCCACTTCAAGTGTAAAAAACAAATAAGAAAATACGTTAATCTTCTTTAGAGAAATTGCTTTGATTGCACATAAGGACCAGCATGTCTTGACACACACAGTTAGCTGAGGAGATACATGGCTACTCAGTACAACTTAGAGATTTGAAAGCAGAAGTCATCATAAGCTGAATACTAATGAATTATAAAGACTATCCATTCATATGTTATTATGCCGTCGTCCTATGTATGCAACTAGGTTGGTAGTCAGGGAAAAAGGTCATCTTTATACAACACCATCTGGAACATTCAAGCACAAACTAGAGGGTACACACACAGAAACCTGAACTGAAACATAGACTAAATAACACAGAGACAGACACCTGTCTGAACTGTCGATCACATTATATTGTCATGTACCATACATGCTTGAGGAGTGTACAGCTGAGTTAATCGACATACAATGTCACAGCATTACATCAACTCCACAGTCATAGTAACCTGGTTACAATGGCTGCAAAATTTGGGTTTCATGTGGACCTGCAACTACAGAAACAACTACTACATTGGTAGTTGTCCAAGTACCAGAAACTAAGCAAAACTGATTGAATATATTATAGTCACTTATATGATTAGTTCTACAGCCATTTCTTTCATATAGTTTGTATAAGATAATTTAGATTATGTAGCCATCACTGAAAAATTTTAAATGTACTTACTGTTTTAATTTGTTTATTTTACTTTTAGTCATTTATATTTATATATGTGGTACAGTAAACTATGTGTAATATAATAAATGTGAAATTTTGAGAAGATTTTAAATAAATTTTATCTATGTAAAAAGGACACAAATCACAGAGGTCGAAGATTGAGTTGGGAAGTAACTTATGACGTCTTTTTTCCTTTCTTTTCTGTAATAGAATGCTCATTGTGTTAAGCGATAAAATGTGCAAAATGCATATAGATATTATACATAGTCCAGTGATTTTTGTGACAGAAATTACTTGAGGCTCTTGACTTTTGCAAATATAATGAATGTATTTTCATTCACATGAGAAAGCTTTTATCCTATAACAACATTTCCAAATATTCTATATTTTGTACACTAAAGGTGAAATCTATGAAGATGTGGAAGCTTTGATACTAGGCTGAACTCCAAACACCTTCATTTGATATTTAACCTCAAACAACTACACTATGAAGTATAGGTAAGTTTTGGATACAAAGTGTTAACAGTCATGGATTGCTCTCGCTGAAATGTTATTTGTTTCTAATTGACCCTCACAATGGCAATAGAAGTACCTGCATGTGGTACCACAACATACAGAGAGCCATATTAACCCACTCGTGCACATTGTACGGGTGTGCGTATCACTTATTTGGGTTATGTGGAGACATAACACAGCATGGCAGAAATAGTTTTCATTAAAACAGTATCATATGTTAGCTAAATGAGAAATGACAATCTGTTAAGTGCCAATTAGCAAATTTCTTGTGAGTTTGTGCATGTGGATGGCCCCCTACTGCCACTTTCTGTTCAGCAGCCAGGTTGTGAGACAGCTTTGTCATGTTATTTGGGAAACTACATGGTAATTATTTAAACTTACTGTGCACAAGTGGGCTAATGATAAAACACAAATTAATCGCAACTATCCAGTTAGGAAGTAACAGTAGGAAGTACTAAAGGCTTCCATCAGTAATAAGGTTAAGCCTCTCCCTCATAAGAAACAGGCTGAAAATCATGCAGATGTAAGAATATGGAATATTGTTAATGATAAATGAGAATCTATGATAGTACAGCTTCCCTCACATATGACCAACTGAATTTAGAGTATGTCGTATTTGTAGAAAGATGTGGTGAGTGTTTCATTAAGTATAATGATGATAAGAAACGGAATGCATGTATTAATTTCCATCCTTTTCGTGGCATTTTTTATGCTTTGCAATGGTTTATAGATGTTTTTAACCTGTGTTGAAGCTTGTATCAAGAGAAAGTGGTAAAGTAGCATGCCATTATGTAGCTATAACCATGGTGCATGAGCGACCTTACTAACCCTCTCATTATGTCCTGCACAGAGGTACTGTGTATTGTGCATTTTACCGTACCAGCAGACACTTCTAAACTCATGCTGTGGAAAAAACAGAACACACAGCATATATGCATGTTGCCTTTTTCAGATGTGATCAGCTGTAATGTGAAAAGGTTTACGGACATTAAACACATTGTTTTCATGGAGTCTAAGATGAACCGAAGCACAGTGCAGGAGGCCAAGCTGGTGCAGTGGGTTAATAAATATGTATTAACATCTTGGTAAGCTAGAAATACACAGCCTATGACATTATAATTCCATGCGCTTTGTGA